AAAGGTAGGGGAAAGATACTCTGCCCTTGACCCATATCTCCTCAGTTATTGGGGGGGAGGAGTTGAGGGTGAAGATAAGGATCTGCAGCTGGGGAGCTGATGATAATAAAAATTCACATGTGGCAAGACTGCACTATCTCCTTCTGGTCACCGCTTCTCTGTCGTTTTTATGGTTTCGTGGTTCAGGGCTCAAGATTTAGCCCAAAGCTCTACTTCCCCTCATACAGAGGTCAAACAAACCGGTCCCTTCCCTATCCAGAGCACTGGGACACGACTGAAGTTAGGGAGCAGCAGGGGGTCTCCTCTCTGTTTAAGCAGCCCTAAATGGTTAAGACTGACTGAAGCTATGCTGGGGAGGGAAGACCACGTTTAGAGCCAATGAAACATGATCTGGGAGGGACTGGGGCTGGTTTGCCTCTCTGCTACCCTCCCCATCCCCCCAACACCCCCAGGGCTGTGTGGGAAGCCAAGTGAAGCTACATGCTTCGGTCATTACTCATGGGAAGCAAAAGGCCACAGGGTCCAAACCCTGAGGTTATATGCTCTGCTGTCAATGAAGCATGATGGGCCAATGGCCAATATCCATCCAGCGGCAAGCCTAGCTAGAGTGAGCAGCAAAAAAATTCACAACCCCCTCTCCCCCTAGCCCCCAAACTTGACTTCCTTCAGGCTTGGATCTTACTTAGCCCCACCTCAGGTAAGTAAGAGGCACCTGGTGGATCTGAACCTTTGCAAGAATCATACTGAAAACCATTTGACCTAAGCCCAGCTACCATTAGCCAGTAGCATCTTTTTATAAAAATGTATTTTTATTCTGAACTTGAACACCAGATAAAATGGGCATTTTCATATGCAGAGCAGAACAGAATAAGAGTGTTGACATGAAGGGCACGTCTCATGCACAGTTTGCTTTTTTAAAAATATAAATATGTATATGAAGTTCTACCCAGAGTTTTTCATGGCTGTCCTGCTGGTCTGTGCTTCTTAACAGCCTTCTTTCTGTTCTCTTCTCTGCATCTAAAAAAATGTGCCTCCATGGTTCTCTCCTTTTCTTTTTACCCTCTCACCTTCCTCCTCCCTCATCTTCCATTCTGGGAAAAGAAAAAGAAAAAGAAAGCTTTGTAACAAATAAGTCAGTGACATGTAATCTTTACTCTCCGAGTCTCCTGATGCCTAGCACAGACAGACTCTAGCCCCAACACAGTCCAAACCCAGGCTCTGGGCTTGAAATTTCCCCTGGACCAGGAAGGGTTCATAGATTGTTATAGTTAGAAAAGACCTACCCACATATACAAAAATATTTATAGCAGCTTTTTCTGTGGTGGCAAAGAATTGGAAATTGAGAGGATGCCCATCAATTGGGGAATGGCTGAAAAGTTGTGGTATATGAATGTAATGGGATACTATCGTGCTATAAGAAATGATGAGGAAGTGGACTTCAGAAAAACCTGGAAAGACTTACATGAACTGATGCTGAGTGAAGTGAGCAGAATCAGAAGAACGTTGTACACAGTAACAGCAACATTGCGCAATGACCAACTTTGATAGACTTAGCCTTTCTCAGCAATGTAAGGATCTAAGACATCTCCAAAAGTCTCATGATGGAAAATGCTATCCACCTCCAGAGAAAAAACTATGGAGTCTGACTGTAGATCGAAGCATATTTGCTCTTTTTTTTCCTTCTGTTTTGTTCTGTTTCTTCTTTCTTGTGGTTCCTCCTATTGGTTCTAATTCTTCTTTACAACATGACTAATGTGAAAATATATTTAATAGGAATGTATATGTAGAGCCTATATCAGATTGCACACCATCTTGGGGAGGAAAGCGGGGGGGGGGAGAAAATTTAAAACTCAAAAGCTTATGGAAGTGATTGTTGAAAACTAAAAATAAATTAATTAATTTTTTAAAAAAGACCTTAAGATTACCTATTCCAGTGGTTCTCAAACTTTTTGGTCTTAAGACTTTTATACACTTAAAAATTGAGGATCCCCCAAAGAGCTTTTGTTTATGTGGATTGTATCTATTTATTGTATATACTATATATATAGTAATACATATGTATAATATATACTATATATGGCAATATGTACTATATACTATATATGTATAATATTTACTGTTAGAAATGAAAACATCTTAGTATTATATTGTTGTTTATATTATGTATTATATATAGTTGTTACACATATAATATATAATATATATTATAATATAATATATATATAGTTGTAACCTCATGCACCCCCTGAAAAGATGGGACCCTTTAGAGACCACTGACCTAGTCCAACATACTCAGGCTCCAGCTGAGGTAACAAAGGCCCTGCCCAGTCCCTAAAGTACACTAATGGGATAGCTGTCAATCAATACCTGTGCCAGGGAGCTGGGAGGCAGCCGGAAGGCTGGCAGCTAAGAAATCTCTGGAACAAACAGCTGGGGCACACCACAAAGCAGAATTGTACTTTCTGTAAATTCTGGTAAGAGAGAAGCTCAGAGATTTCCTAAAGTAGGATCTGTGTGAATTTTTGGAGCACAAGGTGTGCAGCCAGGTGTTGACATCTTGAAGTCAGGAATCTTGGCTGAGGGGACCCTGGCTTGGAGAGCAGGGAGTTTTCTACAGGTCTTCAAGGCTCTCCCAAGCTAGGTTCTTTTGTAGACCTTAAAGCACTAGATAATTCTATTAATAATAATGGTAATGCGAATGTGGAATAGGAAGAACTGGTTTCAGAGACATGAAGACTTGGGTTCAAGCTCATCCTCTGAAGAATAGTGGCCGTGTGATCCTGGGCTTAGACCCTTCACTACCCTGGGCAATGACCTAAGTCTGAGATTCTTGACTTTTTTTTTTTTTGCCATCAACCCCTTTGGCAGTATCTGGTGAAGCCTGTCTATGCACTTTCAGAATAATGTTTTCAAATGCATAAAATAAAATCCATAGGATTACAAAGGAAAACAATTATACTGAAATACAGTTATCAAATTTTTTTTAAGGAGGCAATTGGGGTTAAGTGACTTGCCCAGGGTCACACAGCTAGTAAGTGTCTGAGGCCAGATTTGAATATCAATATATTTTTAAAACCAAGTTCATAGACCTCAGGTTAAAAATCCCTGTTTAAGTCTAGAAGTCTAAAAGTTGCAGAGACAGTGTTAATCTTCATTGGTGGAACATATTCCTTACAGGGATAAAATCATAATAATAAAAAATATTGTAAAGTAAAATAATATTGTAAAAGAATAATAATAGCTAGTATTTATATAGCACTTTTAAGTTTGCAAAGTGCTTTACAAATATTATTTCATTTTATCATCACAAGAACCCTAAGAGGTAGGTGCTATTATTATCCTCATTTTACAGATGAGGAAACTGAGACAGCAATTAAGTGATTTGTCCAGGGTCATACAGCTAGTGTCTGAGACAGAATTTGAACTCTGGTCTTCCTGACTCTAGGTCTGGCACTCAGTCTGCTCTGTCACCTAGCTGCCTCTATTTAAAACATCCTCCTCCTCCTCCTCCTCCTCCTCCTCATCATCATCATCATCATAGCTGACATTTACATAGCTTTTAGCTCTACATACGTGATCTCATTTGGGCCTCACCACAATTGGATGAGCCAGGGCCTACAAGTATGATTATTCTCATCTTACAGATGAAAAAACTCAAGATCAGGGAAGTTAACTGACTGGGACACATGGCTAGTGACAGGGGTAGGTCTGAGCTCAGGTCTCCCCAGGCTCTGGTTTCAGTGTCCTTCCTATTACCTTATGTGAGCTGCTGTTGCGTGAGGCCAGAAGCAACAGCTTTCTTCTCCATGTCACGAAAGGGAAAATAAAGGCCAAGGAGGGCAAAGGAATTACTAAAGTTTGTCTTCCCGGAATGCAAATGGCTATTAGTGCAAAGAGGTGACAAATTCTGACATTTCAAGGAACATGATCCATTCCTATTCCCTCTCTCCTCTCTTGCTGACCCTTTCTGTTGCTGTACTTGCCAATACAAGGCAATTTCATTGCTTCTCTAGGCATTAGTAGTAATTGCCTGAGTGTCTGCTGTGTTTTGTCTTTGCCTAGGGATGGGATCCCATGTCAGGGCCTCAGGAAAGCTCTAGACCGTTCTGAGAGAGTGGAACCTCTGGGATTATGGAATAGCAGGTACTTCCTAGGAAATCACACAATTCATTTGATCGTTCACTCATCCAAGAAGCATTTATAAAATACCTACTACATACTAGGTGTTGAGGATACAAAGACAAAAAAGAAATTGAACCTGCCCTCAAGGAGCTTGTATTCTAGCATGAAGAATGTGTATTGCATGAAAGGGTTCAATCTGGAGCCAGATTGCAAAAGTTTTCAAATGCTGAACAGAGGGGTTTATATTTTACTATAGACTATATAGGGAGGCACTGAATCTCTGAGTCAGAATCTGTGAGTCAGAAGTGAGCTCAGTGACTATTTAGCACAACCCACATCTGAACAGTAATTTCTTCTTCTATAATATACCCTGCAAGTTGGCAGGCCTCAAACCTCAACTTCAGAGTAGAGCGAACCTATCATCTTGTAAGGATCCCATCTCATTTCTGGAAAGCTCTTTTTTGATCCTTCTGTGATCTCATTAATGTATATAATCCCTCCCATGGCTTTCATCCTTTGGAACTCTTGTCCGCTGTCCACCCATAAATATTCTGCAGAAGGTATGTCCAGTGTTTATAGGTAGACTTAGAGCTGAAGGCTGTAAGAGGCCATTTTGTCTATCTAATGCCACTTTTCATGTTACAGATGAAGAAACTAAAGCCAAGAGAAGTGAAGTGATTTGCCCACAGTCACAAAGGCATTATTAGGTGGCAAAGCTGATACTCGAACCCAGGTCATTGGATTTCAAATCTGATACTCCTTCCATTGCACCAATGTTCTGGGGACTTTTTCTCCAGTTCTTGACGTTCTATGGATAACAGTAGAACATGCAAGCTTTTCATCAGTCACCCCTCACTACATGACCAACTCACCTCCCTTTACAGTCATACATCTCTCTGATGCTATCCTTTATGCTGCTTCTCCTTACAAGTCTTCATTGTTAATATGTCACAGCCTCTTTATGCTTTCCTTGAGCCTCTCCATGATATTTTGGATCAGCCACAACTTCAGGTTTTCAGAGACTGGTATACATAACTCACAGACATATGACATCACTAGAAGACATTGACGTGAAAAAGATAGATGTTTGTTTCAGGGAAAAGTTTGGAATTAGAAGCAAAACAAAACAAACAAAAAAATCACTCTGCAATTTTCCAAAGGCAATCTAGCTTCCTCTCAACCTCCTTTTTAATCCTTGACTCATGTCATTGTCTATCCACAGTGCCTGCCCAAGATATGTGAACTGATGGACCATTGAAAAATTAGGCATTCTTTACCCATTTGTTTTTCCCTGTGTGAATAGTTAGGCCAATCATTATGAGTATCATTTAAGAAGTCTTGGGATATTCATGGTTTGATGCAATAGCAATATCATCTGCAAATCAAGAGAATATGGAATCTCTTGTCATCTCTAGGGAACCCTTTTTCTATTTTGAGTTTTCACTTGGCATCTTCCATGATAATAGCCAACATTTTTGGTGAGTATACGTCTCCCTATTTTATGCCTTTCTGGATATCCATGATCAGAGAGTTACCAAAGTTGTATCTGTTGTGACATCTGTAAGGGAAGAGTGAGAAGTTGGAGCTTATACCTTCCCCTGTAAATATGGCTTGTTGTTGTTCAGTTGTTTCAATCATGTCTGACTCTTCATGATCCCATTTGGGGTTTTCTTGGCAGATACTGGAGTGATTTGCCATCTCCTTCTCCGGCTCATTTTACAGATGAGGAAACTGAGGCAAGCAGAGTGAAGTGACTTGCCCAGGGTCACACAGCTTGTAAGTGTCTAAGACAGAATTTGAACTCAGGTATTCCTAACTCTGTGCCTAGTGCTCTATCCACTGTGCCACCTAGCATTCTATCTACCATGCCACCTACCTGCCCAAAGTATGGCTATGTGAGCATAACGCTTTCCCTATAGAATAAGGACTTGACCATCGGCACTTAGTTGAGAGGACAAAGGTAACTCCTGATTGGTTTCCAGTGACAGGAGTCCATATTGGCTATTTGGAAATCTAGGGGGAATGGACCCTTGTCTAAAGGAGTCTTGCCTCTGAGCTGGCCTATGAAAGTAAGTCAATGGAGATGCTTGACCCTTTTTCTTATTTTTTTCTTTTTCACTTTTTCTCCATGTAGAAGATAGATTGGAGCAGGGCAGATCTGTGTTCTGGAAGTGGGCAGATAGAAAAGCCCAGGCTTGCTTGCTACCTTCCCCGCCCCTCCCAGGAGATGTTAATAGTGGACATGGGGCAGAAGTACATGAGAGTGACATATGTTTGCCTATACTTTTTTTTTTGAGGCCAAGTCAGAGACCAGAGACCTGGCAGAGGATGGTAGCGGTTGTGGTAATGATAGTAGGGTTCTTGCAGAAACACAAGGAAGAATCAGACACGTTTGACTGCTAAGCCCAATGTGGGTGCTAACGAACAACGTCCTTGAACCCTGGCTTTTTGTATAAAAGAGGGAGAATGGTGCTTTTCTAGGTCATGCGATTCTAGGGTCTAGTCTTCTAGAGGAAGAGAGGATCTTGGGCAGCACCAACTTGGCATTTGCTAGAATATAACCTTAATCTCTAGAGCTTGGGCATCAGATCTTCTAGAAAAAAGAGGGGATTTTCCTGAGCAGTATGCCTCCTGGAGAAGTGAGAGGTATGACTCATGTAGCCTCTGCAGCTGAAAGAGAAAAAGGATTAAAGCCAAAAAGGGGGGTTGGTGGGCAAGAGATAACACTCGCTATCCCTGCTGCTACCATGTGACCCAGACAATACAGTTTTTTGAAGCAATTTTTAATTTTTTTCCAATTTCATATAAAAACAATTTTTAACATTTGTTTTTTAAATTTTTAGTTCCAAATTCTCTCCCTTCCTTTCCCTCCCCAATTCCTCCCCTCCCCCTCCTTGAGAAAGCAAGTAATTTGATATAGATTAAATACATGTGCAGTCATGCAAAACATATTTCCATATTAGCCATGTTGTGAGGGAAAACAAAGACAAAAAAAAGAAAAGAAAAATAAAGAAAGTTTAAAAAATGCTTTGATCTGCATTCAGCCTCCATCAGTTCTTTCCCTGGAGGAGAATAGCATATTTCTTCAAAAGTCCTTCAGAATTCAGACAATATAGTTCTAATGAGAAGGAGGTTGCCTGGCCAGCCTCCCCAAAGGTATTTGCCTTGGAGGTATAGGCCAACTCACAGGAGTCCCATTAAGGCATGGAAGGACCATGTAGACCCTGGGGAAAAACTAAGAATTTACCAGAAAGTTGGAGTACTGCCTTGATGGGAACTGAACTGAGCTCTTACTGAGCTCACTATGAGTTCTTTCTGTATTTTCAGTGTTTGTTTTCATTGTCTGCATTTTCTATAGGCTAAATACAAATTATTCTCTACCCACATGTGTATGTTATCTTGAGTGTTTATATAATAGCTACGGACCCCTGTTGCTCACATTTGTGGAAACTTAGATGCAAGCACATTTGGAGATTTTCCCAGTATAAACTCCAGGAAGGGGCAATAACCTTAGAAGGAAAATCACCCTTTTGAGGCAATCCCCAAGATAGGATCCAGTCTGTTGGAGCCTAAAACTGTAGAGCACAGATTATACTGTCATGCCTCCCCTCTCTTGTGTGTGAATATGGGGGTGGGTATGTGAAGGTGGTGGGAAGCAGGGCCATTTTCCTGTTCATACATCTTCTGATTTGGCTCTGAGGGCATCGTTGACAGGAAATGTGGTCCACTAATGAAGAATGAAAAGCTAATGTCTCCACTATCACATCTGTCCTAATCTCCCTTCTCCCCATACTCATTCACAGCAATAGACAATGACCATCTGTCATCAAATTTAGGCCGAAGAGCAGGGGTATCTGACCTTATAGTTGGGAGTGTTGCTACTTCCAAACAGAATAGCATCTTGAGTCTTCTCAAGCCACCCAAGATGGAGACTTGGATGCCATTTCAAGAGTCCAGAGATACTGCCCCTTTCTTGCCCAAACCAAAGACTCAGGTCTGGACTTTTGAAATGTGTTTACATTATTGCCCAATATAGCTACGGTTGGGAAGGAAAACAATTCTGAATATAACCAGGGTAGCTGAATATTATGGGTTTCAGCTGAGCTCATTGAAAGTCCTAAACAGTTTCTAGGAACAACACCGAAGTCCTAAAGTCTACATTAGGACATTATGATCCAAATCTATGAATATATGCTCGTAGCCTCCAGCAGGCCCTCATCGCAGTTCAGTGACTTATCCACACTTGTGCTGCCCCTGCTCTTTGCCAAGGCTGATACTTCTACCCGTGTCTCCTTCACTCTCCTCCAATAAATCAATCAGTCTTAATCAACAGGGATTTTTTAAGTGCCTCCAGAATCTTCCTCTTGCAATCATCTCCTTTTTCAGACATTTTCCATCTCCACCTTTCCACATAGTCCCTCTCCTTCACCTACAAACATACTCAGATTTCCCCAAACTTAACAACAAAACAACAAAAACTCCTTTCGACCCGCCTAGCATGTAATGATAATGATAATAATAATAATAATAAATCATCCTAATTATTATAGCCAGCATTTATATAGTTCTTTAAAGTTTGCAAAGAATTTTACAGCAACCTTGGGGGGTAGGTACTATTATTATCCCCATGCTGCAGATGAAAAAAGAGAGACAGACAGAGGTGAAATGACCTACCCAGGGTCACACAACAATTAAGTGCATGAGTCTGGATTTGAATTCAGGTCTTCCCTACTCCAGTCCAGTGCTCTCTCCACTACACCATCTAGTTGCCATTAATAACACATGTAGTTATCATCTCATTTGTCTTTTATCCTTTAGAACCAAATTACTTTTTTTTAAAAGTCTATATCTGGTTCAGCTTCAGTCAATTTAACAAACATTTATTAAGCGCACACTATGTACAAAGCACTATGCTGAAGACACAAAGGCAAAAAACAACAACCACAACAAACCAACCCAACGACAACCACAACAACCCAACCAGTCTCTGTTATGAAGAATATCCTGAGGGATACAACACACATAAATCAGTATAATATAAGGTAATTTGATGAGGAAGAGAGTGCCAGCAACTACAGAAATCAGGTTGCAAGCCTAGGTGACCGGGAAGGATGGCAGTCCATTCAACAGAAATGGGAAATTTACAAGTAACAGGGGACTTGGGTGGGGAGAAGATTGTGAGTTCCATTTTGGATACTTTGAGTTTGAAATGCTGGTGGGAAATAGCCAGAAGGTAGTTAGAGGTGTCGTAGGTCTAGAGTTCACAAAGAAATTTGGGATGGGTGATTTGGGAGTCATCTGTATAAAGGTAGCAATATAACTCACGAAAACAGATGAGATGGCTGAGTAAGAAATCATAGAGAGAAGAAAAGAAGGCTCAGGACAGAACTTTTGGGGAAACCCAAGCTTAGCGAAGAGGACAATGGAAGGGAACAGAGGAGGCTAAGGAGCAATGGTTCAATAAGTAGGAGAAAAAAGCTGAAGAAATGAGCATTGAAGAAAATAGTCAATGGTGCGACAAACTTCAAAGTCAAAGATCATGAGGCTGAGAAAAGGCCATTGGGTTTAGCAATTAAGATATTACTGATATACTTGGAGAAAGCAGATTCAATAGAACTGTAGGCTTAGAAACTAGATTGTAAAGGATTGAGAAAAGAGTGGGTGGTGAGGCAGCGGAGGAAATGAGAATCAGCTATTCTTTTGACTTCCCCAGCACCCACTTTCGCACTCCCTTCCGGCCCATCCCTGAGCCTTTGCTCATTTGCCCATATTGTTTCCTATTCCTGTGTCCTAGGAGGGGGTTTAGATCAGATCTGTTTGGCCCCAGAGAGTAGAACTTGAGGTAAGGAGTGGTCTTGTGGAAAAGGGCAAATTTAGGCTTGATGCCAAGAAAAGCCTACTAACAATTAGAGTTATCCAAATGTATAATGGGCTGCCTCTAGAGGCAGTGGGTAGGTTTCTACTCATTGGAAGTCTTCAAGTAAAGTCTGGATGACCACTTATTGGATATGTTGTAGAGGGAAATCTTTTTTCAGTAATACATTGGATGATAAGG